ATGTATGCTCATAATGTGTGCCTATTTCTAATATGTGTTTAAAAAGGCAGTGCTCAGGCTATAAAGTGGTGTGTTGCTATCCTAAAGAAAGCACCTACCTGCCTGGAGCTTTGAATCCACTAGCAACTTCTCAAGAGAAGACAGAAAATCTCTTCCCTTGCAATTTACACGCCCCTGAAAACTTACTGGAGGTAGCAAATATCTGTTAAATTTTATGTCGCCTTCTAGTGTAATATTTTTTTTAAATCCTCAGGACAAAATTAATTGATTTATTGAAACATGTTTCCATAGTGCATTGCTCATAATCTATTTAAGACTTACGTTTGTTATTACCATTTTTGTGTCCATAATCATACAACAGAAAGTAAGAGTGGCAAACACATCCGAAATACCTTGCTTTTGGAAACTCTTTGAACTTGGAGAAATGATGAAAGTGATACAAGCGTTCAGGTCTTTCATTTATAGTGTCCCTGTGGCTCATCTACCACTCAATGGCACTAAACAAACAACACAATCTACAACAATTGCCTTCATATTGTATGTTGTTCTTATGTGCCATTGACTTGCTTCTGACTATGTACAACAGCCCTAAACCCTGCTCTGTTCTGTGCCAATCACACTGTCTCCAAGACACCCAACCCGATGAGTACAGCCACTGAATCAATCCACCTCATAGAGGGCCTTCCCCTCCTGCGCTGTCCCTCCTTCCTCCCAAGGACATCCTTCTCCAAGGATTGGTCCCTCCTCACAACATGTCCAAAGTATGTTAAACGAAGCCTCAGAATCCTTGCTTCCAAGGAGCCGCCCAGTTTAGCCCTCTACAGGATGAACCTGTTTGTTTTCCTAGCAGTCCATGGTACCCTCAATACTCTTCTCGGGCACCACAGCTCAAAGGCAAAAATTCTCCTTTTATCCTCCCTACTCATTGTCCAATTCTCTGATGCATAACAAGTGATTGCAAAAACCATGGCCTGTATAAGACACACCTTAGTCTCCAGAGAGACACGATTGCTCTTCAATACTTTGGAGAGGTCCCTAACAGCAGACATTCCCATTGCAATACGTCTTTTAATTTCCTGGCTGCTGGCGCCAAGAGTGTTGACTGTGAACAATCTCAGTCTCTTCACCATCCATCCTGATGCTCTCAATTGGCCCAATGGTGAGAATCTTTGTCTTCTTCACAAAGAACCTCAATCCATATTGGAGGCTGCAGTCCTTGACCCTCTGCAGCAAGTGCTTCAGGTCCTCCTCAGTTTCAGCAAGCAGGGTGTGTCATCCTCATAACACAGATTGTTGATAGATCTTCTACCAATCCTGACACCACACTTCTCCTCACAGAGCCCAGCCTCCCAGATAATATGTTTTGTGTACAGGTTGAAAAGGTATGGAGATACAGGACACATCCCTGACATACACTCTTCTCAATTTTGAACCATGCAGTGTTACCCTGCTCTGTTCTGACAACTGCCTCTTGGTCCAGGTATAGGTTTCTCATTAGCACGATCAAGTGTTCTGGGATCCCCATTCTTCTCAGAGTCAGCCACAGTTTTCTGTGGTCCACTCAGTCAAATGCCTTTGCATAGTCAATGAAACACAGATAGACATTCCTCTGGTATTGCCTGCTTTCAGCTAAGATCCATCTAACATTAGCTACAATATCCCTAGTACCACAACCCCTTCTAAACCCAGCCTGGATTTCAGGCAGTTCTCTGCTGATGTGCTGTTCCAGTCGTTTTTTGGATAATCTTCAGTAGAATCTTGCTTACATGTGAAATCAATTCTTTTGTTCTATAGTTTCCACACTCTGTTGGGTCCCCCTTTTTTGTAATGGGAATAAATATAGATCTCTTCCAGTCGGTTGACCAAGTGGTTGTTCTCCAGATTCCTTGGCACAACTCGGTGGGCACGTCCAGGGAAGCATCTGTTAACTGAAATATGTCAATTGGTATACGATCTATTCCTGGGACCTTATTTTTATTTTTTGCCATTTCCTTCAAAACAGCCTGAACTTCTTCCTTCAGCACCATAGCCTCTTGCGCATATGTTGTTTCATTAAATTCTTCTGTGTCTGCCAGTTCCTTTTGATACAGTGACTCAGTATGTTCTTTCCATCTGCTTTTAATACTTCCTGGATCATTTAATATTCTGCCTAAAGCATCCTTGATGGTAGCAACTCGAGGTTTGAATTTGTTCTTCAGTTCCTTGAGCTTAAGAAATGCTGAGCAAGTTTGGCCCTTTTGATTAATTAAGATTAATATGATATCCTATAGCATATAGACTTGAATATGTTCATTAAACATTTGTTGAATGAATAAATGAGACTAGAAAGTTTAGGACACAATACTAAGATAAAAATACTATGAAAAAATCTACGAAAATAGGCTGAAGCCATACAAAAATTGCCAGTAATTATTATTCTAAGACTATTTTGAGGACATCATACAGCTTCTCATTACCTCAGGATACTGAATGGCATATATGTTGTGTGTGTTTTTGTTTGTCTGTTTTTGTTTGGGGTTTTTTTTGGTTTTATTTTTTCCTCCTGAATTAACCACACTGTTTCCAACGTGAATGAGTAAAATATTTTCAGTCAGTGGGTTAAGGGTAAAGCATGATTATTTATCTTTCATTTATTTAATATAAACTGATATACAGACATAGACTCATAGTACCTGCTGTTAGGTATTTAACTATCTGTGACTTAACTCTCAGGGAGCTCTGGTGGCTTTTTGGTAAGGCATTGAGTTGCCAACTCAAAGGAGTCCATTTAAATCCACCAGCTGCTCCAAGGAGAGAAGTGAGAGATCTCCTCCTGTGTGCTTACTGCCTCTGAAAACTAGCTGGACAGTCAGCTCTGAGTCAATTCTGATCAGACACTACACAATAACACCTAACTGTCATGTGCCTCTACTCATATGTTTGAAATTATGGTGCAAATCAAGGAAAAGTACTTTCTAGGACAGAACTAAGGATGTGTGGAGCTAAATTCCTTCAAAACTGTGCTGGAACTTAGAGTACTAGTTTGAGTAAAATTGATGCAAGAAGACTTAGTGATTTTTTTAAAATCTCCAAACCTAATGTAAGCCTAAAAAATACAGATATATAATGTAAGAATATATATATAGATATAGGTATAGATGTAATTTAGTGTCAGAGAACTCTATTTGATACAACATAATATCAAACATAGAGGTGTGTGTCATTATCTATAATAGGATTTAACTTAGTAATGTTCTTGCCAAATATATTTTTAATTGCAGAATCCTTTCACTCCAATGTCAATGTTTATTAAACAAACACAACATTTTGCATGAAAAAAATTGTGTGAATGGAATAACAAAAAAAATTGCTTTAAAGAGTTAAATAATATTTTATTTTTGCCTATATTTTCTCCTAATTGAT